TTCGTCTCGACCAGAAAATAATATTAATTTATATTATGTGTTTTATGTTTGTATATAATATTTTTAAAATAACTTGTTAACTATTAATTGACATTTATTTTCATAATAATAGTGAAATATAATATAATATAAATAATCATTATTGAATCATAACTCGTATTTATTATAATGTTATAAACTTATATTTAATATTAAAAATCCCAAAAAAATTGAAAATACGCCACTGGATCTCGTCATACACCAATTAACTTTAAATCAGTTACCACTTACCAAATCATCTGGTAAACCGGAATAAACATTAATTTGTCAGAGTAAAATGTTAAATGTTTATTCGAGGGTAGTATGCTGCTCTACCTGCTCTACCAGTGATTCAGATATTAGGTTGTAAGTAGCAATGGCGTAACTGAACGAAGTACAACAGTCCCCCCCCCCCCAGTAAATACGCCACTGACGAGATCAATATATTTTCCATGACGATATTCGATTATTTCATCGTCTAGTATTCGTTTAGTTCTGTATATATACATATTAAATATTTTATAATAACCGGTATTATAAGTTATCCCAGATTTTGATTAGACAATAGACAGAAAATTTAAAAATGTTAAAAAAGATCCTTAATGATATATAAATACCGGTAGTTTGACTGAATTTTGTGTTTATGTATGTTATTTTAATCGAAAAATTAGTCTATAATACTCTTACAGTCAACTGTAGGTAATACAATTTCTATTTTCAAGAATATTGCAAAAAAAAATGTGTTAATATGACATTTTTATCGTTAAATTTAATGACTAGTTAGTTTATAGAATATTTTTTGTATCAATGTATTGATCGCATTATTTTAAAGAATGACATATTAATATATTATATAAAAAATTGATTAGCAGATTATTATAGTTATAAATTTGTTGGGTTATTTTTTTACGATATTTCTATAAATACACAAAAATTTGTTGAGCTGTTTATACATAATATATTTTTAAGGTATCGTAGTAATTTAGGTTTTAGGACATTTAAATTATTAAAGTTACAGATTGTCATCTAATTTTCCTATGAATTTTTTTTTCGTTTATTTTCATCTATATGTTCCGCTCATTCATATACATATACTAATATATATTATTCCCAAAGATTATTCTTATTAATTATAACTATAACTGTAAACTATAAAATAAACTCGCATGACTGTTTATGAATCATTAACTGCAGTAAAGTTGTACTGGATAAGTACATAGGTATATCTTATATCAGGGCCTAGTTTTTGTTTGTAATACGAAATTCATTATGTGATAAACTGTTTGAAGTGTATTACGAAATAATTAAACTTGCACGTGTATTTGAAGTGAATAATGACTTAGGTGTGCCAGTATTTATTTTTTAACAAATTGCAATAATTGTGAAATTATTTTAAATAAAAACAGCGAATAAATTTGTAAATTTTTTTTTAAGTTAAGGTATACTCTTTCAAAAGTGACCGTAATTCCAAAAATAGGTCCTGCTATGTATGCATAATAAAGGCGAGTAGTTTAGTAATATTACCCAAGAAGAACTTAGCGCCAAGCCGATGCACGCATAGAGGCATCCATAGCGCTGTGGGTATGCATGCTATGCCGATCCACAGGGTGTGCGTGTACACGGATTCACCGACCGCCGATCCGCACAAGTCGGCTGTGTTCAAAGCACCATCGTGTTCTATGTACACTGATGAAACTTGGCACACTGACACTTCTACGCCAGGCTTTTGGCGTTCGAATGTTTCAAACCTGTTGAACAGCTCCGGAAACCACATCATAAGCGTGTAGTAACTGTAACGATAAGGCATTAAAACATCACGACGTCAGTCATAGTGCAGTGCGTTTTAAATTTTACATTATTCATAGAGAAAGGACTTTCATGCAATACTCATTAAAAAAAAACAATCAAATATATATTTAAAAAATGGCGACTCATATTAAATTATCTGCAGTAATAAAAATATCCCAAATAAATTATAAAACACCAATATAGGTAGATGAATCTTTTAATACGCTATAATATTATATGGTTTTTCGTAATTTAAAAACCTAGAAAATATTAATCATAAAGATTTGGTTTTGATCGGCTATAGCTAATACTTAATAGGTATCATAAACTCACGGTTAATCAAATAATTATTGATTTTGGCTACTAAAAATATAATAATAAATAATATGATTTCCAAAATTATAAAAATAAATAGTGAAGTATCGAAGTAAGGCTCATATAATCAAAAACATTCACTAAAATCCCAAGTGTCAAAATACTTAATTGTATACATTAATAGTATTAATTGTTTCATCAACAATGTTATAAATCGTATTTTGTACATTAGCATAATATAGTTAGATTAACCAGAAACAAAATGCAAAAGCATAAAAGTCTTTGCTCTAGTTATTAGTAGGTCAGCTAGTATATTTAAAGCTTTTAAAAATGTCTTGAATAATTTAATACTTCAGCAAGGCTTTTAACAAATCACTAAACTTTTTTTAATTTACCGGAAAAGTTAGAAATTTAATAACCATATAATCATTTTATCATTAATTAAATTTATTTATTCCACTTATTACCTATTTACCTTTTATAAAAGGAGTTGATAGCAATTAGTCATTAAATTGTTAATTAAACTGTAAAATCCTTTATAAATGATCAAACATTTTAAATGTTTGATAAAAAAACTACATTGTTGCAATCGTGTGACAATTAACATAGACATAATAATAATTAACACTTAAATATTAAAATAATAAATACAATTAAGTAAACAAAAATATGTTTGATACCCTATAATTTATTGATTAAGTAATACATCAGGTCAAATATAGTAATTTTTTTTAAATATTGCAACGCGTACAGCAAATTGTTTTACCTGGAAGTCAGTCCAAACTGTATAAGACACGTAAGCAACGTGTTCTTAAGATGTGGTGGTTTGAACATCTCTTTAGTTTGGTACCACACCTCATTAAACAAGTTTTTGAGGTCCTTTGGCGTCTTGACCGTCTTCATGGTGCGTAACGAACGCTTTGACTGTATACTGATCACGCTGCACCGGACTTCGTTCTCTATGAGACTTCGTACCTTAAACATAAGCATAAAAATTGAGTTATGCTATTTTAACAAAGTATGGTGTACGTGAGGTATACAATAAATTAAGTCAAGCGCAGTAACTATACACACGTATTGGGAGGAAGAAAGGGAGGTCTTGTGTTATTTACTTTGTAACATATGCTTATTGCTTATAGTAAGAAAAAAATATCTTCATTAAAAATTCACGAAGATTTGATCAACTTCCTTAATAAAAAAATTATTTTAATAATTTATACTATATGTGTTTGAGAAAATTGTAAGAAATTTTTTTTGTAACTTCTTGGATTTGTGTATATAGTGTACCCGCAAGTGTAGCGATGCAACTTACAAGATTACAGCTTTCTAAAATTCTAACAAATATAATATTAAGTCCGTCATGCAAATATGAATTTCAGAAGTTTTAGTTATGTGGTAGATGAAATGTAACTCACGAATACATTCATTTAAGTCATAAATCTATCCGTTTCCGGATGTTATATACAATAATAATAAGGCATGGTTACGTACGGGATATGCATCTCCCGGTTCGCCCGTATTCTCCGTGTAAATACGTTTCAGACACTCGAGCGCCTCATCAAATTCACCGCACTCCAACAGGAACTTTGGGCTTTCTGGGAACTGGGTCAACCACAAAGCCAAAAAGATACTAGGCAATGAGCACAATGTTAGGAATATATTCCACGATGAATACCTGAGTATGCCCGCGATAGTGTAGTGTGTCGTCAACGGGATAATGCCCCAAGCAACCACTGCCGATGAACACAATAAACGATGGTTAAGTATTTTATTATTATATTACATTATAATTATTAGTTACTATTTATTATATTATACAACATACTGTAAGGTACTAATAAATAATTACAGTACTCTTTAGGCTAACTAGTTATTAGGATATTGTCTAAATGTTCTGTATGATTACTTTAACATTATATACATACGTGGTAGCAGTATGATGCCGATTGTCCAAAACATTTCCAGCCATGACAGCACTTTTTCTCTATAGATTTTTGGCTGAAATTCACCCAAATACGAGAAACAAATGCCCAAGTATCCGGAAAGGCTATAAACAAACGTCATGATGTATGATTTGAATAATTATAAGTACTATTCAGTGTTTACTCAATCAATTAAATGTTTTTTTATAAAAAAGAAATATCTGTAGACATTTTATACTTGTAGTACACATAAGTTCTTATAAAGTAAAGTAATTCACTACAATTTATTAAGATTTGTTGGTAACAATAATATAACGCACATTCAAACATCACCATTAATCATAATACAATATCATACATAATAAATACATTTTTCATGATTATTAAATATATTTTTAATTAAGTTGAGATAAAGTTAATAGATAAATCTTTATATAATTTAGCATAAAAATATCCAGCTGAGATCATACAGTAAACTAGTAGTATTTTTAATTACATTTCAAATAATTTTTTCAAAACTATTAAGTATATTTTAGTATATTAGCATAGGCGTAATCTGGGGGGAAAGATAGGGCAACACCCCTCTAGATATTTATTGAGGGAGCAATAGTATCGTTTTGCCCTCTTTATAGAAGTTATAATTCAATTTCTATTTTATTATATAGAAAAATAAAACAATATAATGCATTGTATAATAATAAAATTAACAATAGATTTATCGTTTTGAGTGCTTTATATTGAAAGAAATAAACAAGTTAACATTGATTAAGTAACTGACGAATTTAATGAAGGTGCATCCATTCGTGGTTGTCGACTTGTGTTAAAATAAATTAGTTTGTAATACGTATAATTTTTAATAATTTTGTTGAGTTTTATATCTTTTTATCAGTTTTATAATGCAAAATAAAAAAAAAATTGAGTTATTAAGCATTATTTATTTATTTATTTATTAATTTACTAACGCGTTTTTAGTTTTACTATTGCTTGCCTCCCCTCCCTAGAATTGACTACAAGTTACACCACTGAATTTATTAGTATATAAATATTAAATAGTATAGGTACTATTATTATAATACTACATATTGTACTCACCCGAAACCGCTGAAGAAGCGACAGAACAAAAATGGCCAAAAGAAAGTGAGGCAGCTAGAAAGCAGGCTAAACAGGCCATCCACGAGAAGCGCCGCGATTAGAGCTTTTTTTCTGCCGTGCATGTCAGCCAGACAGCCCCAAAAGTACGCTCCCAGGAGCATGCCTATAAAATAGATACTCATAAATGTGGAAATCCGAAGAATTAATTTACATTTTATTTAATTTATTAACGCCAAGTGGAAGTTTTATAAGTTAACAATACAATTATATATCTATAATATAATTAGTCTTAATATTATTATCAAACGTGGACAAATAATTAACGGAAAAAAATTAACTTGGATTCGTTTATAATTAAGGCAACGTTACGAATGTTAATTTATAAATTGAAATAATAGTTAATCGATCATATTTTTAAATCAAAACATTTAAATATAATATTTAGAAAAATATTAATTTATCTCATTTAAAAAGAAGTTAATAAGTGATGATAATGTTTACTCTGATTTAGTTATCAGAATAATTATTGTATAGTTATTAATTACCTAAAAGAGGTACGGCGTTCAATAGACCCTTGTCTGATGAGCTGAGGTTGAAGTCACATTGCGCCGAAGGTAAAACGAAAGACACAACACTTACGGATATGGCGCAGTTCATGTAGATGAGACCACATAGCGTCAACAAGAAGTAATGGAATCGGCCGAATTCTATCGTACAATAATATAGATCGTTGATGATAGTCGGAATAAAAAAAAATAAAAAATAAGTTTTTTATTTAAAATATTTATAGAATAATTCAAGAGCTAAGAAAAACAATATATTACCTGCACACGTTATGGCGTGCTCGAAAATTGAACCATTATCCAAGAAATCTAAACCTATATGTATAACAGAAAAGAAATCAAAAATTGTACGAGTTATAGATGGTGTTACATATTATATTATGTATAATATACTATGATGATAGTTTAATACATATGCATAGGCTATCGAAGCAATTGAACACAATTAGTTTCGTATTAATGACAAAATATCGTAATGATGTTTGTCAATATACTCAATAAATTCTCATTAGATAAATTCCGGCAATTATGGCTTGTGCGTTAATTAAAAAAGGTTTAAACATGTAGCGACAACATTAACTAAGATTTTACATTTTTTTTTCAACAATTTTCAATTGAAAACCAAGGAATAAAAGATAATTTTGTTATTTATTAAAGACGTCCGAAGTACTTATACAGCATTAATGACAATTTATTTATTTTTCATTTTCAATACATATGTAATACACATTAATTACAACTATAAGTATATATTATGAATAAATTAGCTCTTAGCTATAAATAAAAATGACATGTACTAAAGTAAGTTTATATTATACTCTTTTTATTTTTTGTCATTAATTTTTTTCAATTTCTGAGTAAAATCAGTACTTTTTCAAAAAAATGACTAAAGTTTTTCACTATAGTATTCGATTGAAAATTAGTTTGCATTGTTTTTTTTTTTATATGTCTATATATAAATATGAATTACCTACTCATTACTTTCTGTTAAAAGTATAAAAATAATTAACATTTGTGAAATCTGTTATCACTAATACATTTGATTGTTATGGATTTTTTACTTTAAATGTACTAAAGTACACAGTCACGTTATTTTTACAGTTTAGTTTACAATATTTATTTATTTACTGTTTTGTGCGAAAGACATGTACTATCGTATAGAGCAGGGGTGGGCAACTGGCGGCCCGTGAGCCTTTTTTATCTGGCCCGCGCTACATTTTCAAATTGCATTAGGTATAGGTATACAATTTTAACCTATGTCCTATTTCATTATATACAAAATAAATGCTATTCAAAATGTATATTTTGAATGACCTTTTTTTTTTTTTGATTTCTATGTTCTGGCCCGCCTATATTTTAAATTTCTAAAAATTGGCCCTATAGTAACTTTGAGTTGCCCATCCCTGGTATAGAGGAATGAAGTGCACTCTATATATATATTTGTAAATTTGTATGAGACTCTACTTATCAAGTAAATTAGTATGTACGTATAAATAATTTATGTTAATAAATTATAATACATTATAATTTTATACAATAATTTTTATCTTAAACATTTTATACATAATTATACTAGGTGATTCTAAATTTCTTACAACATTAATCACTCATCATTTTGTATAGCATCGAAATTTCATAACAAAAGTTATATAATTATTGCTGTTATATTTTCTAATTTTTTTTAGCTTTTTGAATTATAATATTTATTTTTAGTTCTATATTTCGAAGCAGAATATTTAGATATTATATAAAAATCGAATTTTGAACAAATAGGTACCTACCTAGTTAATTATTTTAAGCAGAATTACACTCTTGTAAAATTTTTCTCATCTTAACTTTTTAATTATTTATAACTAAATAAATGTTCAATTTTTGTTTATCAAAAATTTTCTTTTTTTTATTTTGATTTCAAATTTAAAAAAATAAATATTTTTTAATACATTAACACTTTTTAAATTAATTAGTGAGTGTTATTTTGCGTTAAAAGAATCACCCAATATATGTAGCCACTTTTGCGAATACTTTTCAACTTCATTGCAAATACTAAATAGTAATATTGTTTAATTTTTTTATTGATGTATTTACATAAAATTATATTAAACCTAACTTAACTGTTTGATTTGCCACAATATTAATTAAATAATATTTTATAATCATAACCGAAATGTTTTAATCTACACACTGCATGAATGGTTTTTAAGTACATATTTAAAAAAAAAACCCTAAAAATAGTTAAGTGGTGGTTACACATATATACATATATATATATATATATATATATATATATAAAGGATTTAGAATTATTAAATATTATAAGTATGATTACAATAATATTAGAAAATAACTTAATTAATTCGATTGTTCAACAGTTTTTTTTTTATAAAATAACTAACCTAACCTGTATTAAATTTCCGATAATTTTGGATAGTATAAGGTTCTATACAGTATAATACGGTATTATACAAGTTATAATATATATATTATAATAATATAATGAGATAACAATTTTTTTTTTAAATTCGAACAAAAAAAAAAAAAAATTTATACACTTTTTTGTAAAATAAGATTACTTCGTATTTTATTTTGAATGTGTCTCTAGCTACATATTTTAACGGTTATAGTGAATTTAATGCGTAATTACTAATTAGTGTAATGTCATCACGTGTTAAATAGCAATTATTAAATATTGTAAACCACTTGAAAATTTAAAAACAAAGTACAACCAAAATCAAAAAGATATACTTGTTATACTCGCAGTTATAATCACATTTTTTTTAATGAAGTATACAGATATATTTAGACTTCAAAAGTAGTTTTATCCTAAATCTATGTTAAGGAAAATGTATGTTTTTTTTTTAGAAAAAGTTTTGATGTAATTCGTTAACTATCGAGTATTTGAGTAAAATAAATCGTGTTTGATCGCATTTAATGCTATAATTAAGTTTTATTCGATATTTATATAGAATTAATAAGTATAGTGCTTATACAGGTACTACTTTTACATATCATTCTCTATAAATAAACCTACAAAACAATTTATAAGAACCATACACGGATTATATAAATATTATGAGGCTGTCAGCTTAAGTAGCTATGTTATATTTAATTTATTTATTATCAATAAGTTACGTATAAGTTTAATTACCACAGTAAATATTAACTAAATCAGCTATCAAGGAACGTTAGTCATTACATCCGAATCCAATCTTCATAAAAATGTGACATCCCTATGAACCGAGTCATATCTTAACGTTATATTTATTACAGGTAGATACCTACCATCATTGAGCATTGAGTATAATATAATGGTACCATGTAAAACAATTATTTTCATTTTAACTTATTGTAAATCATGGAAGATAAAAATAAAACCATATTTGTTTCTTCTATGCATAATGATTTATCTTGTAGGTAATATCTTAGACTGTTTAGAGCTTAGTCCATTTAGTACTTACTTTATCTTAGTAGTGTATATTTATTTAATCTTATTGTGTTACTAAATTATTTGTTTAATAATAATTAAAATTGTCTGTGTTGATTAATAATTTTAACATGATGATATTATTTGTTGATACAATCATAACTACTTGTTAATCTATATGTTTTATTAACGCGTTAATTAACACTTTTTATTAATTTATAAAAATATTTACTTATATAAAAGTACAAAATTATTTAATTAATTTATTATTGATTTGGTTTAAATGATACACCTGCATGGAATAAATCTTAACTGAAATATAAAAATATAATTATCTGTGCGAGTAGAAACTCGCAAAAAAGAACAAAAATGAAAAAAATATTTTATTTTAAATTTATATTTTCTATACTTAATGTTATACATTTAATGTTATTTTTGAAAATATGCAATATAATTTCATTTAAATATTTTGTAAAAAAAAAGTTTATAAATTAAACTAGTATAAGGGATATGAAAAATGTTTAAACAACCGTATCACATACAATATGATATCAATAATATATTTATTTTACTTATAATAATGTTAAGAGTTTCTGATGATTATTACCTATATGATTACATATAATTGTTTTAAAATTATAATAAAGGTTTTAATATTTTTTTAATATTAATTTTTATTTTAATATTTAACAAAAAATTAATTTTTTGATGTATTGGTATCATATTAAAGTATATATCGACAAAAAAATTTTACTTATCTAAATTAATTTGAGTCTTACAAAATGTATACAAGAATAAAAATTATTAAACATATTGTACTTCTTATTACATTATTTTTATATTGTTGAAACATTATAATAATATTCTTTCAAAATCTATGAAAAATATTTTTAACAATTTGTTAGTATTTATAATGTTTTAAATGACTTATTTCGAAAAAAAATAGAGTTATTACAACTGTTTAAATGATTATATATTTCATACCAACTCGTTAATTTAGCGTAAAAATAACGACAACTAAACTCATAGTTTTAATTATACCATTTCAATAATGGACAATGTTGTTAAATTTATTTTAGTTTCCCTTACTATATATATGTTGATTCTTAAACTATTTTCATAAAGTTTAATTTTTATTTAAACTTATTGTTAGTAAAATTAGTTCGCCCATAACCTTCACAAGCATTTATTAGTTAAAGTAGCTATAAAAAAAAAAAACGCGAGTTTATAAGATTAACAAAGTAAATATTGACCTCTTATTCCATAAATGTATTAACATTGGCAGATAATAATATGACTGATAATGATTTTTTGAATTGTGGTAATATTGGGAAGTTAAAATTATGTCTTTCATAAAAGGAAAAAATATACCTTAAAATTATCCTAGTAATTATTAAATGTAATATACTGTATTATTTGTATATTATAACAGACATATGATTAACTACTAAAATATGATTAACTATGTTTAGTATTAACTTATAACAAATTATTTTTTATCTAATATAAAAAAATGCTATAATCCGTTCTTTATATGTATAGTATAACGAATCATTATTAATTTTGTAGTATTACAGTAGAATAAGTACATATTATGAATTGCAAATTATAGCATAATATTATAATTTTTAAAATAGCGTATTGTAATAGTATAATCATAATATTAAAATAAAAAAAAATAAAACATATATTACCCATCACGTCCCTGGTGCTTCGTAAATCTGTATTATGAGTTTCTGCATAGATGAACCAAAACCGAAAAGTATGGTTAAAAATAAAAACAAAATCGAATTAAAAAAAAATTCAATCAATAACAGCGTACAAAAATATGACGAGTATGTAATAATTATAATAATATAATACGATATTAAGTGTCTTAGAAAAAAAAGAACATTTATCTATCACACGGGCACACGTGCATGCGCGAATAAATACGAAGATGACACGAGGATAATAATTACTATAATATTATATTATTATATTAATCTGTACGATAATTATTCGGATCTGGTCGGTTTTTCGACTTTGGCGGGCGCACACGTTCACCCGCAAGCTCCGACTAAAATGTCGTGTATAACAATTAATAATAATATTAAATCGCCGTGGTTGATTTGGGGGGTTTTTCGGTGATATTATCGCAATCGGGTACCGCGTACCTATAATTGTTGTGGTAGACTGGCGCGGTGCGCGTATAACATTATTATGATATTATGTAAAAACGCAGGCCCGAAAATAATAGGGCTCAGATAAAAACACGAGTAATAAGAGATACATTAGTGGCGGCAGACTACGTTCATTGAGTCAATGGTCTGCGCCGATCGTGGTAGGAGTATCACATGATATAGAATTGGAAAACAATAATAATATTCAATTTGATAACAGTTTTTATTATAGTATAGCTTTTATAAAACGATAAACTGCGCGCGCCGATCACTATATCATATATATATTTAGATATGATGAACTGAGTTAGGATTGTCTCTGTTCATCAGAAACGACGTGCGAGGATAAACAATTATCATAGTTTTACAACTAGCACCTCAACTCGAGTATGAATTTCCGGTGGTTTTCGCGCGATCGACGACGCCAAAATTATACCATTCACCTCTTGCCGGAATGCCTAGAATATATTATTATTAATATAAAGTATATATAATTTATTGTTTAAAATTCGTCGCCATATCATCGGTAATCGCCAAGGTGGCAAGGTCAATATAATTTATTGTTATTATAATACGGTAATAATAACAATAATAATATTATATCATTATCTCAAATCACAATTAATATTCGCGTATAATCTATTGTTGTTTTTCTAATATTATGAATTCTCGTAGATTATAGGTACCCAAGTACCTACATAGAGAGTAGTCGATCCAGGGCACCTAAAGATCTTAATCATTCTTGGCTATTAACCATTCTTTTAATCCTTTTATAATTATAATCTTTAATATAGTAGTATTTTTTTTAAAGTCTTCTAGAATTCAACCGTGGATTTGCCAATATAAATAGAGTATTTATCCATGTTTTTGTTTTCTAAATAATTAACAACCTCTGCTTTTGATAGAAAATCATATGGTGGATCACTTTGTACAAAGCTACTGATATCATAAATGAAATTCTCGAGATTATATAAATATATTTTACCTTTTGTACTGTTTATATAATTGTCCTAATATACTGCTACAATAATCAGTAAAGGAAATAAGGTGACCTGGGGGAAATGTATTATTATTTATCCTGTTATATTTTATGATCCCTCCCTGATAATTCAGGATATTTGTTCCCATATAAGTTTCGAAGTTTCGAGAATATTGCCATCACTTATTATCTCTTCTGCAAGCCTCTGTTCACCTCTTTGATACTTGTTATAATTTTTTTTATTATTATTATACTGCTACTAAATGTCACGCGCACAGGTAGATGGTACCTATATATAATATGTTTTGTATGTAAATAACATTTTGCAGAAAAAATATATATCTCATCTATCTATATATATTACAGGATTATAAAACTTTGTGCAAACGGTAAACACTCGACGCAAAATCAAATAAAAATAAAGAAATAAAATAAATATCCGAGATACGATGACGCCAATGTAATTTAATTCGACGACTGCCATTCCAGTCGAGTGTTTTTGTAATCGCAACTCACTAACCACGCGCGTTCGGCGATAATCTATTATAAAACATAATATTTTATATGTACTGTATAATAGGTTGTAGGTAGGTATTGCAATATATTATTTAATCAATCTTGTTTTTTTCTATTGCTGAGCAATGCGATTTAATTTAAATGTACTTATTGTATAAACCAATCTAAATCTAACTAATATATTATGACATACCAGTATACCACGAGTGTTAATTTTACATTATTTACATTTCATATGATGTAAAATGATCGTGTAGGTTGAACAAAAAACGTAAACTGTATACGATAAAAGAATGAATACATATTAAGTTAATACATTAATTAAATATAAATATCCTCTCGTCGATCCTCTAATTGTATATATTCTTGATTTTTGATACGTTTCTGTTGAAGTAATGGAGATTTTATAGACCTTTTAAATGTTTTGATATTATTTTATTATTGCAAAAACTTTGTCAGTATAAAATATTTAAATACATATAAAACCAAAATTATATTTTAAGAATTTATGAATTACACGATTATTTGTAGAAACTATTCAATAAAATAAGAATATATATACATTTACCAGTAAGCTTTAATTCAACATACTTGATCAAGTAAAACATACATTTTTTTAAGAAAAAAAATAATTTTTACAACGTTTAACAGTTTATTTTTAACATTTTAAAATAAAGAACTATTTATATCATATTATTCAAGAAATCAAGTGCATAAATAAAATAAGCGATTTAGTATCTAACTTCGTATTTTGAATGTTTATTGATATAACCTCGTAAATTATGAATATCAATTATTTATAAAAATGTAATTGAATTATTATTAAGAAATAAACTTATTATTGATACTATTAGTGTATACTGTATAGTGTATAGTTTAAACGTACTCAACTATTGACGGGTTTCAAATCTCGATTATATAGAGACATAATTACATCCTGTACCAGTGTTTTTGAATTACGATTATTGATTACAAATTTTTCATATTATATTTAGTACACACATTGCAACTCATACGCAGAATGTGTGATGTGTATGTGATAAATGTTTTGTTTTAATCTTTTATACACATACGTGCTTGAGATTATAATGCCCTGAAATCCTCTTCATGACTAAAAACGAATTAATATTTACTTATTCGATAAAAAAAATAATACTAACCTAAGTTTTTCTCACGTCATATTATAATTTTAAAAAAACAACACTGAGACTATTATATAAGCCACCACAGCTATATTGTAGACTTAAGTTTTTGTACAAGATTAAAATATTATATTTATACTTTTAAATAAATGAAACGGAAAGACTTATAACTATTATACGTCCTCACGTGCTTAAAGTAATAATGGTTACACTCTCATTTCTGACTGGGGCATGTGTAAGTATTTCAACTCATTCATTTTTTTAAATCTGCGTCCAATTTACGTCACACACACTCTTATTCTAGAACACTGTTAGATAGGCTTGACACAGAAGGTACAAATCGAGTAGGTTTAAGTAGGTAACACTGATAATTAATAAAATAATAAAATTATAACAGTTTAATCAGTATAAATGTGTATTCAGGTACTAGTCACCACTCACCATTTAATCGGTTAATTATAATTTATAATACATTCTTTATGTGTACGATAAAAGCTAAATTCAAAATTGGTCAAAGTGAACATTTTCAAGAAAAAGTAATAAAATGTGAATAATACGTACGTCATATTGATATACAACCGGAAAAATTAATTTTATTTTAGACATCATGTCATTGTGGAAATAAATAAAAGATTTTGAGGGAGTGATGAATGTTTTGATTTAATAATTATGAATTTATCTTTATTTTGTCTTTGTGTCTGGCATCATCTTTGGGAATAGTAAAAATGAAATGTTCAACTTTAAGGTGTTTTTTGATAGAAAATTATTTGGTGTTATTATTTTGTGGAGGGAAATTTCAAGTAATTTTCAATATGATGAAAACGAAAAAAAAAGTAAGGAAAATTTGAATTTGTTTTAACAAAATCTGACTTCGATAAAATCGATTAATTCTTTTAGTTATTGTAATTTAAAAATTAATAACTGCAGGGACTTGAAATTATTTCATTTATTTTACATTTTTCGATAATTATAATTTTAAAGTATACTTTATATATAAATCTGGCTAATTTTTACATTATCCAGATAATATGCACATTGCACCTAAACCACATAACGGATTTCAGCTATAACACGGAAATTTGCTTCCTGCAATAGACTTATTAGATGTCAGGTATTAAACAGCAACAAACTATTGTGCTGTTTTTCAACTTATTCGTGTTTATAAGCAAAGCATAACACATAAATATATAATAAAAATAATAGATAAAAAGTATTGATTATAGAATAAACTATTCTATAACTAATGATGGAAAGTTATTTTCTTAAAAACACGTTATAAAACTCACTTCAGTACCCTTAACTTACTATTAGGACTCGGCGATTCCCGAATTCTTACGACCACCCTTAAGAAATAGTATGTATTTAATTCAAACTCGACTTCAATTTTTCTAAAAAAAAAAAAACCAATACTCCAAAAAATATATTAATGATATTATTAATGATTATTATTAATTTAAATTATTTAAAAAAAAAACAATTACTAATCAAAATTATATAAAATAACAATTTTTAATAATATTCTCTTCAAATATAATAAAATTAATTGATTTTCTCAATAATCACATACATCTTGCGAAATCCTTGAGATTGTCCCTCGGAAACCTAAGGTTCCGCAGAACAAACTTAAAGAAATAGCACAATAGGTTCATGATTATTTTTGAACATGTTAAACATGTTGAGGCATTTTATAATTTAGATACTTCAATAACTTTAATTATTTTTTTTTGAGAAAATGTGATTTAAGTATTATTTAGTATATTATTATCTAATATATTATAATTAAATAAATTGTTTAATAAACTTTTACCATATTGAAGTATATTATATTCAACGAAATAATACATAAGTATATAATTCAGTCATTCAGGAAGCAAATTTCCGTCGTTACATTCGTTGTTTAATCATGTTAAGAAAAAGTTCATTGCAATGTGATCACTTGTGCAGAATAGTATACGTACTTTTGGGACTATACCTAATAGGCTGCAATATATTTTTAGATTAATTTCGTTTTCCCGAACCCATAACACACGCGCTAATTTCAACCGCAAAACATTGCAATACCTCTGTTATTTAATTTTTAAACAATTTAAATATAATAAATATTTAATGAAACGTATAATAATTAACAATACCTATTAATAATGAATACATGCTCATTTTGATGTCCGCTTATATCTTTCTTCATCAATTTTGTCGAATTGATTTCCAGCGATCGCCAAATTGCTTTTATATTTGGTTGAAATTTTTGAACTCTATTTCTGTAGAAATAAATTTATTAATTAAAAAAAAAAAAAAATTAAACTTAACTAAATCAATGCATTTACAATAATATTTAGGCGCCTATGTAGTCTTTATAATATTATATTCTCTTATTAAGTGAAGCAGCCAACCATTTATAAGGAACAGCGATATATTTTTTAATTTTGTGATTGGGAGGAGAATTCACTTTTTTTA